ACTCAGGGATGTGACTTGTTGGGGCACAACCATGGAAATCATGCTTTTCTTTAGTCCTCTGCTTGCACTGGACAGTCATCATTGTACTACGAGAGGAGTCCCGATTGGTGGCAGGGGAGCTGGATCCCTCCTTTCACTTACACCAGAGTCAGGGGTAGACCCACCTTTATGGAGCCTGATATTGATACAGATGGCAAGATCATTGCTTCAAAAACATACGAAGTCTGCTACACATGGATTTTTCTAACACGAGAAACTATATGGCATTAAGTCACGAAGGTGAAAATGTTTAAGCCCAAAATGTAAGACAAATGAAAAAAAGTACAGACTTTTTTTTTTTTTTTTTTTTTTTTTTTTTTTTTTAAGCCTTGTGACATAGCTGTCTGGCACCCCAGCATAAGGCATGTTCCCGACAATTTTTTAAAACCTCTATTGAGGATATGTTTGTTGATTTTTGTGAGTGAGGAAAAGGAGGGAGGGAGGGAGAGAGAGAAAGAGAGAGAGAGAGAGAGAGAGAGAGAGAGAGAGAGAGAGAGAGAAACATCAATCAGTTGCCTCCTACATGTCCATAGAAGGGATGTGACCTGCAACCTTGGTATGTGTTGAGACCGGTAATTGAATCCACAACTTTTTGGTTTGGGATGACACTCCATTCCACTGAGCCACCTGGCCAGGCTTTACTGTTTTTACCTGATACTCTTTGATTGCCTCTTCATAGGAGATTAATTCTGTCACATAGTAATAAACGTCCATCTTATATTATTAATTATTAGAATATTATATTTATACTAGTTGCCCAGTGCATGAAATCATGCATAGGTAGAGTCCCTAGGCATGGCCAGTGATCAGGGCCAATCTTTGGGGCGACCAGCAGGGCAATTTGGGGTGCCTGTGCTGGCATCTCCCTTGGCTGGTCTGGTGCCGCCCACTCGCCAGCCCTGTCTGTCAGCCTCGCCCCCTGCTGCTGCTGATGTTCGCCTCCTGCTGCATGCATCCAGCATGGCAATGGGAGACTTGTGCTGGCACCACCTTGGCTGACCTTGGGCCTTCGGGCTGGTTCAGCCCCCATGTTGGGTGTCTGCCACTGGTGGTTAGTGTGTATTATAGCAATGGTCATTCCACAGTTCTGTCGATTTCATATTAGGCTTTTATTATATAGGCCTAGAGGTTTGGCGCATGTGTAGGGTCCCTAGGCCTGGCTGGTGGTCAGGGCCAATTGGGGCCTTCCTTCATTTAACACTGTCCCCTGGTGGTCAGCACACATCATAGCGAGTGATTGAACTCCCAAGGGAACACTTTATATATTAGCCTTTTATATGTATATAGACAATATAGAGAATAGAGAGAGACTTCAGTGTTCCCTTCTGCATGGATGATTGATATTTCTTTTTCTCCTGTGAAATTAAAGAAACATTTCTTTCAGTTGCACAATTTGTTACTGAGAATGAAGTTTCACATTGATCAAGTTTCTTCCTTTCATAAAGGAACAGTAGGATTTCAGGTTATATCCTCACATCACTCTAGCCCCTTTGAAAATGGGTGGAGCACATGAAGGGTTTGAAGGGGGAGCTTCCTGAGCTGTAAGGTGGGGAATTTACTGCTGTGCTAAGGCCCTACCTCTAGGTCCCTCCAAATAGGGCGAGATCTCCCTTCACACATGGCCTTCTGAGGGGCCTGTGTTCTGTCTCTGTCCCAGGTCCCTCAGACCCTGAAAGACACAACGTGTGTTTCTCATGTCCCCAGAAAGCTCTCAGAACAAAGGGCTTAAATGCTTAAGTTTTTGCTGGGGTTCTACCTGCAACTGGAGTTGAATCTAAATTCCTTTTTCTGTTGCCATTACTTGAGTTGTCTAAAAAAAAAAAAAAAAAAAAAAATTTAGAGTTATCCAGACTGATCAATTGTTTCAGCTCAAGGGTGGGTCTTTCCCAAGTCAAGCTCTGACCACAGTGGCATCCTGGGTCACCTCCCTCTCTACTTATACACCATCTGTAAGGGGATTACTTTCAGATTCACACCTGGTCAGGCCTCTCAACCTCTGGGGGCTTCAGAATATCCACAGGCAGGGTTGGGTGGGAGGGAAACAGGAGGGTTCATCAGCTACCACCTCACCCGCACGTCTTGTGGAGGCCAACTTCCCCTTCCAGCCTGGCCACAGTCACTTCCCCACAGCTTCCTGTTGGGGTGTCCTAAGGCCCCGCCCCAGAGCTGGGCACTTCCCCACCCTTACCCCCGATACAGGGACCTGGACCCACTCTGCCCAGCCTGAGGCAGACATGGTGCCCCTGCTGCTGCTGCTGCTGCTGCCCCTGCTGTGGGGGGGTGAGTGGGCTGAGGGAGGGGGATTGGGAGGGTGGAGGATCATCAGGGGCGACCGCTGAGCCTCTCTCCCTCTCCACCAGGGTCCCTGCAGCAGCAGCCAGGCTACCAGTATAAGCTCCAAGTGCAGGAAACAGTGACAGTGCATGAGGGTCTGTGTGTCCAAGTGCCCTGCTCCTTCACCTACCCTTGGAGTTTGAGGTCTTATGGCACTCTCTACACCTACTGGTACCGGGATGGAGACAACACAAACTCTGATGATCCTGTGGCCTCGAGCAAACAATATGGAACAGTGAAGCCAGATACGAAAAACCGATTCATCCTCGCAAACCCGAGTTCCGACTGTTCCCTGATCATCACAGACGCCAGGATGACTGACACAGGATGCTACTTCTTCTGAGTGGAGAGAGGAGACTCTGTGAAATATAATTTCAAAGAGATGCTGGATTTGCAGGTGACAGGTAAAGCAGGGGCCCGGAGAGGACCCACCGACGTGGGACCCATCCTAGAGCAGGAACAGGACACTGGGACCCTCCCTGATCCAGGCCTTGGGCCTTGGGTGGTTGGAGGATCACAGGGCCTGGGGAGCTCAGGGTCTTTGAGGTTGAGTCCCACTCAGGATCACACTTTGGGTTCCTCCCTGCTGTGGCCCAGGCACCTCCCTCTCTCCTCTTCCTCCCTGACAGACAAACCCCACATCCAGATTCCGGAGCTGCTGGAGTCTGGCCGCCCCACACAGCTGACCTGCATCCTGTCACGGAATTGCAAAGGGGGAACACCTTTCACCTTCTCGTGGGCGGGAGTCGCTGTGGCCTCGCTGAACCCCCAGACCCGCCACTCCTCAGTGCTCGCCTTCACCCTGAAGCCCCAGGACCATGGCACCAACCTCACATGTCAGGTGAAATGGGAATGGCCTCTGTTTACCTCACAGAGAACCATCCGGCTCAATGTCTCCTGTAAGTGTTGAGGGATGGCTGGGTCCCTAGAGATAGTAGGATTGGTGTTTGTGTGTGTGTGTGTGTGTGTGTGTGTGTGTGTGTGTATGTGTGTGTGTGTGTGTGTGTGTGTGTGTGTGTGTGTAGGAGGCTGAGCTAACCTGAGATCAGCTGGACATGGATCTGCATGTAGCTGGGAAGTTTGCCAGAAAAATAGAACCCTACCTTCCTGGTCCCACTTTCCCTCCTTGGGATGTGGGTGACTTCCATTCACTTCTCCACTCTGAAGTGGGGCCATATTTTTTTAATACCAGATGCCCTAAGGAACCTCACCATGGGCATCTCCTTCAGAAATGACACAGGTAGGAAAGAACCCCTCCTCTCTGGCTGGGACCTGCCCCTGAGACCATGGTAAATCATAGGGGGAATTGGATCTTGACTGGGATCAGACTTGGGAAGGGCAAGGAAGAAAATCGTCATCCTAGTCCCTCACCTCTGGTGGGTGGGTGCATGCCTGCATCTATGTTCCACACCTCTCCCTCTCTTCCTCTCTCTCTTTCCCTCTCTCTACATTTCTCTACCCAAAGCCTTCAAGAATCTCCAAACCACATCCCTTTCCATCCTGGAGGGAGAGGCCCTGAGGCTGCTCTGTGTGGCTGACAGCAACCCCCCTGCCAAGCTGAGCTGGTTCCTGGGGTCCCCAGGCCTGAACGCCACCAACATTTCCACCACCGGGATCCTGGAGCTGACTCTTGTGGGGCCTGCACAGGAAGGAGAGTTCACCTGCCAAGCTCAGCACCGGCTGGGCTCCCAAAGTGTCTCTCTCAGCCTCTCCGTGGCCTGTGAGTGGGAAGTGGACTGAGACGGGAGTGGGGGTGAGGTGGGGGCAGGAAGATGTGCACCTTTGGAGTAAGTCACCTGGGTGCCTGGAGATGTTAGAGGCACCTCTGATTCTTTGTCCTCATTCCCCACAGACCCCTCAGCAGCTGCTGGGACCCTCCTGCTCCTGGGAGGACTAGGCTCTGCTCTGTAGTTGCTCCACCAGGGCCCAGCTGGCCTCCTCCCTGTGCTGGCAGCTGGGGGTGAGGCTGCTGGAGGGGGACCATGGCAAAACCTCCTATGCAGTTACCTCCTGCTCAGCAGGGCCCTAAACCAACTGTTCCCTGAGCCTACATTCAGGGCTCAGTGAGGGACTCAGACTGAGCTGTGAGGCCAGAAATGGAGCCCAGGACGCCTCTGTCCTGCTGCTGCCAGATCAGGACCTGCTGGGGGCAGAAACCATGGAGAAAGGAGTGGGTCAGAGAGAAGGTGGAGCTGGAGAGGAGGCTGTGGGGGGACAGGGGTGATTGTTAGGACAGGACCCTCTATCTCTTGCCTGAACAGGACCAACAGTGGGTTGTGCCAGGAGGTGGGAAGAGGAGAGACTGAGTCTTGGGAGTGGCTGCTGTCACCTGAGCTGGTGCTGGAGGAACAAACCCTGAGACTCCCCAGTCCTCAGCACCATGGGTCCTGGAGTGGCTGGCAATATGGGCTCAGGATGGGTTGGTTTGCATCTGAAAGGCTGTTCCTGGCAGAATTCTCCTGGAGCTGCCCCTTGAGGGCTGGAGGCAGAGAGGATTTCACATGCTGGGCTCAGCACCCGCGGGGCTCCCAGCATGCTCTCTGTGCAGAGTGAATTACAGGCCAGGTGTGGGAGCTGGGGATGGACTGAGACCCGGTCAACACATCATCTTCTTCCATCACCCCCAGGCAGCCCGTACTCCAGCAGATGTGTGACTGAGCAGCAGCAGGGCTCCTGGTCCCTGATCTTCACCCTGATCAGAGGAGCCCTCATGGGGGCTGGCTTCCTCCTCACCTACATGATCACCTGGCTCTACTACACCAGGTGAGCAGGCCTGTCTCTCCTGGGGACGTTCAGGGATTGGCCCTGAGGTCCAGGTGGGGCCGAGCTGTCTGGCCCTGCCTGGAGTGGCCCAGTCTCTGAGCTGAGACCTGTGTTGGCCCCGCAGGTGTGGAGACCCCCAGAAGGTGATGCAGAGCTCCTGGTGGATCCTCCCTTCTTCTCAAGACAGGACCGAGGTGTGGACTCCAGGCTAGAGGGACCGTCCTGGGATGTCAATGTCACCTTCTCCCTGGAAGCTCTTGACTCACCTGTTCAAATGGATCCCTGGGGTTTCAGTGTGTGGAAGTGACTGTTTGATGACAAGGAGAGTTAAATCCATGGAGAGATGACTTCTATTCATTTTACTTCATGAGAGGAGGGGCCTGCTATTCCTGGGGAAGCCCCAGATTTCCTCAGGAAGCAGGTGCAGGTGCTGGGCAGCCTAGCAAAAGCCTTTATTGGGGTTCCCATGGGAAACACAAGGCAGGGTGGGGCGAGTAGTTTAAGATCAGCTGGTCTGTATTAATCTGGGGGAGTTGGGCCTGTGGTGTGACCTCTATTTGTCTGCTCCCAGTTCCTGAGTGATTTGGGGCATGTTGGAGTGGCTGGCAATATGGGCTCAGGATGGGTTGGTTTGCATCTGAAAGGCTGTTCTTGGCAGAATTCTCTGCTGTCTCTGAGAATGGGCGGTCCCTGTGAGGCCCTGTGTCTCTGTGGCCTCCTAGCTGTTTAATGGTTGAAAACATCATAAGATGCAGAAATAAACAACTAATACACACCCACTGACTGCTCCTTTGTTTCTGCCTGTTCTCTCTTTCTCTCTCTCTCTCAATTCTGCCCTTCCCTGCAGGTCTGGTCACTCCAAATGCCCTCCCCTATTGGCTTGTTTGCCCCCAATTGCCCTCCCCTGCTGGCTTAATTGCCCACATCTTCCCTCCCCTGCTGGTGATCTTGTGGAAGCTATATTGTGACGACATGGGGGTGGCCATCTTGGGATGCCATGGGGAGGCCATCTTGTGACCACATGGGGGTTGCCATCTTGTGTGAGGCATGATGGCCAATTTGCAAATTACCCCTTAATTATATAGGATATCTTACATCTATAAATTTGATAAACTTTATAATTATTTTATTTTATTTTTTAAAATATATTTTATTGATTTTGTACAGAGAGGAAGGGAGAGAGATAGAGAGTTAGAAACATCGATGAGAGAGAGTCATCGATGAGCTGCCTCTTGCACACCCCCCACCGGGGATATGCCCGCAACCAAGGTACATGCCCTTGACTGGAATCGAACCCGGGACCTTTCAGTCCCCAAGCCGACGCTCTATCCATTGAGCCAAACCAGTCCCGGCAATAAATTTGATAAACTTTAGAGAACACTAATAATTTCTTGGATGTGAACAATTATTTTATCTCCATATTTATTGAGAAATTTTTGACATAGAATGCATGCAAATTTAAGGAATGTAATGGTGCATATTTGATATACCTATATGATGAAGTGATTACCACAAGGTTCATTAACACTTCTATGTTCTCATATACTTACTACTGTTATAGTTATAACATTAATGACATACTCCCTTAACAACTTTTAGGTATATAACAAAATACTGTTAATTATAGTTATCATGCTTTACAGTACATCCCAAGGAATTACTAATCTTGTAGTTGAAGATTATCCTTGCCCAACATCTCCCCATTTCCTCAACTCCAACCCCTGCACCATGTTCTACTCTCTTTCTGTGAGTTTAGCTTCTTCAGATTCCCACTGTGAGAACATACTGCAGTTGAACAATGACTATTAAAAAAAACAAAACTACCATCAGAGTTATGTTTATTTTATTCAGTTCTAGGTTTCCATCACAAAAATCACTTTTCTCTATACAGAAATTAACTCAAAATGTATTAAAAACCTAAAGCTAATACCCAAAACTGTAAAAGGCTTAGAGAAAAACACAGGGGGAGAGTCCATGACATTGGATTTAGGAATGATTTCCTTGATATTTACATCAAAAGCACAGACAAGGAAAGCACACATAGACAGGTGGGACTGTACAACCTTAACAACCTGTACCCAAAAGGATACTCTCAACAGACTCCAGAGGCCACTTACAGAATGAGAGAGAAAATGCATCTGAGGAGGGGTTAATATTCAGAATATATTACAAACTCACATGAGGCAACACTAAGAAAGCCAAATAACACAACTGGAGAATTGGGCAAAAAACTTGAGTTGATATTTCTCCAAAGATGATATACTAATAGCCAACAGCCTTATGAAAGGATATTCAACATCAGTAATCCTAAAGAACTACAAATCAAAGCCCTTGCTGGGTAGCTCAGTTGGTCAGAGTGTCTTCCAGTTGTCTGGTTTGATCCTTTCCAGAGCATATACAACAATCAACCAATGAATGCAAATGTCAAAACTAAAAAGAGATATCATCTCGACCCTTTAGAATGGCTACTATAAAGTAATACAACAATTATTGTATTATTCAGTCCTTTAGAATGGCTCAGTGTATAAGCATGGACCTATGAACCAGGAGATCATGCTTGGATTCTCAGTCAAGGCACAGGCCCAGTAGCAGGACTGATACCAGTAGGGGATGTAAGGAAGGAAGCCACGTGATTCTCTCTCTTCATTGATGTTTCTATCTCTCTCTACCTCTCCCTTCTCCTCTGAAATAAATAAAAATATATTTTTGGAAACCAGCAGGAGATAATAACAAGTGCTGGTGAGGATGTGCAATAATGAAACCATTTTGCACATTTGGTGGGATTGTAAAAGGATGTACCAGTTATAGAAAACAATATGGCAGTTCCTCAAAAAACTAAAAATAAAACCACCATGACGTGTAACCACTAGCCTTGAGGTTATATATGTAAAATAACAGAAAGTAGACCCTCAGAAACGTATTTGCATACTCATACTTATAGTAGCATTATTGAATACACAATAGTCAAGAGGATTCAGCAAGCCAAATATCCACTGATGGATAAATGCATTTAAAAAGGTTATGTGTTTGTTTTCACAAAAGACCATAGACTGGTGGTTTAGAATAAGCAGGAATTTATTGCAGAAAGACCTGGAGACTGGAAGTCCAAGATCACGGTGCTACCCTGGCTGGGATCTGGCATGTGCCCTCTTCCACAGTGCAGGCGGGCTACTTTTAGTTGAAACATCACACAGTGGAAGGAGAGAGGGAGCTCTCTCAGGCCCACCTGCTAATATCATCCCCTTGGGTGTAGGGAGCTGCAGTTACCAAGATAAATCGTCTCCAATTTGCAGAAGAACACAAGGATTGGACAGTTGAGCATTGGAAAAAAAGTCATGTGATCCTATGTATCAGGTTTCCAGTTGCATCATGCAGATGGCAGAGGGAGAATTTCGTAGAAACAGCATGAAAACATTCACCTCACATGCATGAGTACAACCCTTCAAGCTGGTGGGGACAGTGTTATGGTTTAGGGCCTGTTTTCTTGGCATGATTTGGGCCCTTTAATTCACGTGGAGCAACGTCTGAATAGCACAATATACCTAAGTATCATTGCTGATCAAGTTCATCCTATCATGTTAATGGCATATCTCCATGGAGATGGGTTCTTCCAACAAGACAATGCGCCATGCCACGGTGCTTGTATCGTGCAGGAGTGGTTTCAAGGACATGAGGGAGACTTTACCTTGCTTAGGTGGCCCCCACAATCAGCAAATCTCCATCCAATTGAGCATTTGTGGGACAAAGAGCCACCAGGCAGCTGGTTTCACAACCATTAAATCTCACAGACTGGACAGTGCTATTTTTCAGGCACAGTGTCAGATTCCTGGGATCACCTTCCAACATCTCATGGAAACAATGCCAAGAAGAATCAACGCAGTATTGAAGGCAAAAAGTGTCCCAATGAAGTGCTGATAAGGTGGTCATAATAATCAATCCACTCACTTTATATTGTTGTCATACCCATTAACATGCATATTGTCTATTTATTTGTACCTTTAATGTCCTCCTAAACAGCTTTATAATTTTCTTCATTGAGAAAGGGCATATTATATTTTTAAGTACATCTCTCTTAGCAATATCCTCTCTTAGCAGTTTTCAAATATACAACACAGTACTATTAACATTATTATAGTTAATAGTGTTAATACCCACCATTATTATTATTTTAAAAATATTTTTATTTCAAAGGGGAAGTGAGAGAGATAGAAATACTAGTGATGAGAATCATTGATTGGCTGCCTCCTGCAAGCCCCTGCTAGGGATCAAGCCCATAACCTGGGCATGTGCCCTGACTGGGAACCGAACTATGACCTCCTAGTTCATAGGTTGATGTTTAACCAATGAGCCACACCAGGTCAGTACCCACTACTATTAACTGTAGTCCCCAGGCTGTACATCACATTCTCATGATTTAATCATTTTATAACTGGAAGTTTGTACCATTGACCATGCTCATTCATTTTGCCCACCCCACAGGCTCTGCCTCTGTCAACCATCAATCAGTTCACTATATCTCTGAGTTTGAATTTTTCAACATTTATATGTTTAAGTATGATCATACACTACTTGTCTTTCTCTTTCTGATTTACTTCACTTAGTTCAATGCCCTCATAGTTTATCCATGTTGACCCAAATGGCATGAATTTCATCTTTTTTTATAGCACAATACAACTCCACTGTATAGATGGCACACTTTCTTTGTCCATTCATTGACTGATGGGCACTTAGGTTGCTTCCAGGTCTCTAGATATAAATATAATATTCTAGCAATTAATACTTAATGTAATATTGTAGATGCTTCTTCAATGAACATAGGGATGCATGTGTCTTTCCAAGTGAGTGTTTTTATTTCCTCTAAATAAATACCCAGAAGTGGTGTTGCTGGGTCATGTGTTAACTTTATTTATAATTTTTGAGGAACTTCCATACTGATTTACATAGTGGCTCCCCCAATTTACATTCCAAGCAACAATGCAATAGGGTTCCCCTTTCTGAGCAATCTTGCCAACACTTAATATTTCTTGTCTGTTTTATATCCCAGCTTGAGATTTGCTAGACCACTCAGGGATGTGACTTGTGGGGGCAAAATCATGGAAATCATGCTTTTCTTTAGTCCTCTGCTTGCACTGGTCAGTCTTCACTGTAATACTGGAGGAGTCCCGATAGGTGGCAGGTTCCCTCCTTTCATCTACACCAAAGTCAGGGGCAGATCCAGCTTTGTGGAGCCTGATATTGATACAGATGTCAAGATCATTGCTTCAAAAATTACAGAATATCCTACACATGGATCTTTCTAACACAAGAAAACATATGGCATTAAGTCACAAAAGTGAAAGAGTTGAGGCCCAAAATATAAGACAAATGATAAAAGCACAAATTGTTTATTTGTTTGTTTGTTTTAGCCATGTGACATATTCATTTAGCACACTAGCATAACGCATGATCCCTACAATTTTTTAAAGCCTCAATTGAGGATATGTTTGTTGATTTTAGAGAGTGAGGAAGAGGGGAGAGAGAGAGGGTGGGAAAGAGAGAGGAAGTGAGAGAGAGAGAGAGACAGAGAGAGAGACAGAGAGAGAAACAGAGAGAGAGAGATGGAGGTGTGAGAGAGTAACATTAATTAGTTGCCTCCTACATACTCATACAGGGGATAGGACATGCAGCCTTGGTATGTGCCATGACTGGTAATTGAATCCACAACTTTCTAGTGTAAGGGATGACACTATTCAACTGAGCCACCTGGCCAGGCTCCACTGTTTCTACCTGATACTCTCTGA